TGGAATGTCTCCACGCTAAAATCAAAACTAATTTAAACTTTTTAAACTCTTTAAAAAATTACAACTATCCTAATTTATTTAACGATTTGGAGAGCTCGCTTCATGTCTGGTTAATTCGCTCAATCATATATTTTTGTGAAAACAGCGGCTATTTCAGTTCCAATTACGCTCCCATAATAAAATTTGCATTTGACCATTTAAATAAAATTAAAAATGTTTTTTTGTGTACTTTGCGTACTAAATAGTTTATTATCTAAAATTAATTTGATCAGTTTTTCAGTGGCAAGCTGTGTGAAGATTTTTCAAAATTCTACCTGTTGTAAAAGAATAGGCCTTACGCTTGTACTTCTTTGTTCATAAATAACCGAACTAATGCATTCTGTGTTCATAAATATAAACAATGTGAAATGGCGCATAACGTATAACAAAAAATAGCTCCCTAGTGTTAACCTCACTACCTGACCACAGGCTAATTTTTACTGTTACTCATTTATGTAAACAAAGCTCATCATTGGTTTTTATTCACTTTTTTTTATGTTTCCTGAACTTGATGGAAGATAGCCTTGCAAATCGCAGGTGAGAAAATAGCTTCCCATTTACTTCCAAAAATCAATGATGATGGTGGGAAGTATACTTACCATGGTCTTCTAAAGGGTTAAAGTAGTTATAGACAATGCCAACTTTCATCTGTGAAAAGGTATCCCACCATAGAATCGAGTTATCATGCCATATATACACGTGAATTGGAATTATATTTTTGTAGTGGTAGATACACCACAGTACTCCCAAACCAAAATTATATCTGTGAGAGAATTCAATGAACGGGATACCACTAGTTGATTCATTGCTGTTTTGTGAGAAGCCGGGAGAGCTGTATTAAGATCACCGTATTTTTTAGGGCTGTTCATTAAAGGTGTCTTAAGTTCACGGTGGCGATCGCTCTTGTGTTGCCTTTAGCAGTCAAGTGTATACGTTGCACGTTCTGTGTGATCGAGACTGAGAAGCAACAGTACGAGGAGGTGGATAATGCCGCAGTCACAAGTAGCAAGTCAACTGTTCAATGCGAACCATCCATCGAAGTAGGTGCTTTCATATCGTAGTGAACGTTTCTGCCAAGGTAGGCAGGTTCACATCACGTCCGAAGGTCACCAATATGAGGGATGTCACATCGTCTATGTAAACCTTCATCTATGGTAAGGAACCATCACATAGAATCGAGTTAACATGTCTTATATACTAGTGAATTGGAATTATATTTTTGTAGTGGAAGGAACACTACATTAACTTACGCAGGTTTAATAATAATGATTTTGATTTATATTATCGTTTCAATAGTGCTTCATTCTTAACGCCGGAAAGAGATGTCTTTTATCAACTAAGATTGGAAATCTATACTTTTTTTTCATTTTCTTACCTCTTTTTTACCTTTTAGTTTTATGCATTTTACGGGTTAATGTCTAAATTAAGGATTTCAAACAAAGTTGCGTCTTCAAACAATGAAGTTTATAACTGTGTACATAAGGAAATTCTATGATTTACTTCTTTGGAAGGAAATTTCCAAGTAGCATCGGAATGTATTTAAATCAACTTGCAATCTACATAAAGTGAAAGAAATGGATGGAAATCAAATGTTTCCCTGGACGTATATGCTGCAAGAGTACCGGCATACATACCAAGATAGACTGAAATATAGATGTATAGTTTGTCTAATTGTATGGGCAACCTAGTGTAACACCCCGTTACATTTCTGTGTCTACAGGTGAAAACTATTAAATTACTTAATTATTAGACGATCCTAAACATGAAAACCTTATAATATATATA